ATTAAAACCAAAAGTAGTCTAAAATAAAAAAAGATAAAAATGTATCTTAAGTCCTCCACCAAACTCTTGAAGTTCCTTTGAATCTCTTCTCTTTTACAATCACTCAAAACAAAATAACAAAAAGGATAAAGTAAATAAAAAGTAGTTTGTGAAAATCTCTCAGAATTAACTCCCCAAAAAAGAACATTCAAAACTTGTCAATATTTTCAGGACTCTTTTCTAAGTCGTCTCTTCTTTCTTTTAAAGTTTTCCAAGTGGTGTTGGGATCTCTTCAAAATGCGTCTTGATTCGATGTATTTGCCCAATAGACGCATCCTTTCATGATAATTTTCGTCCATGGTGATTACAACCACCTATTAAGCCAATGGGTGCCTCAAAAATCTCTTCGAAATTTGTGAAAATCGATTTTACTCGTCTAGTACCTGCCACCGGCGCTTAAGCGAGGGGTCTCGGCGCTTAGACGCAGACTTCTCTATTTAACCGGCGCTTAAGCGCCGGATCCGGCCGGATCCGGCGCTTAAGCGCCAGATTTAGACGCAGACTTCTCTATTTAACCGGCGCTTAGGCGCTAAAACTCTTTTGCACAATTTTTTTACCATTTTGCTCCAATAATTTTTAACCTATTTGCTCCAAATTTGATCCTTTTTCACTCCTTTAAGCATTTTCCATTTTTACTTATATCTGCAAGAAAAAAACACAAAAATATCTTCCATTAAAGCACAACATCTCAAAAATTGATATAAAAATTAGTCTAGAAATACTATATATTTTAGATGTATCACATATCATCAAAGTGGATCAATTAAATATAATATGGAAGATCAACATAACGAAAAATTAAACTAAATTTATTTATACTTTCAAAGTGAAATAAATTAATTAAGAAAGCCTACAATTAATGACGGGAAAAATTAATATAGCTATTAACAAAAGATTAGATTTCACTTATGATGATAGTGGTTGATCCTAAATTAAGGAGTTTATATGATTCTATCAAAGCATTATCAGGGTGGTTGCTAGTTTTCACTTAAGAGCCTAGAGTTTTTGTTTTCTCCACCCAACTATTGGCTTCTTGGTGAGAATTTTAATGCAAGAAAAAATCAATAATGTTTTTTGGATCATAACAAAATGTAAATGTGATCGTCACAATTATCTTTAATATATGATCCATTCACTATAAATTTTTTTTTAACGAGTCTATTCTCTAATTCTTAATTTTTTATGGATATGTACCTCATTAATCGCATGCCATCTAGAACCTCAAAATTCAAAAACCCTTGTAAAATCATTTTAAAACCAAAAAGCCTACTCAATTAATAGGCATATCTCTATTACATCCCTTAGAAAATATGAGCTTTTTAGCTAATATACCCTATTTAATCTAAGCCTTCATCTTTCTCTAATTTATCTGAATGTCATTCCCCTTGCTGTACTGAAAATTTTCCAGTCGCATACAACAAATTAGATTTTAAGGTCTATTCTAAACGTCAAGAAAATTCAACTAACAAAGAAGATCAAAGCATTTCACCGAAGCGAAATCACATGTTTGAGCCAAGCTCTGAATAACTTCCATATGGTAAACACTTATTTTAGCCTTGATAAAGAAAGCAGCAATAAAAATCCAACAAATTATTGAAATTATACTAGTTATGGCCCACCGCAGGCTATTTTTGTCCCAGGTTTTATTTTTATTTTTTTTTAAGGAAGGGTATTACACATTAATTTTCCTGGACTTGTAGTTACTATTTATCTCTTGCATTCTCCACATGAGCTACTCCTAAGAATTTATAAAATGCAGCTCGCAAAGGAGATTAAATCAAGGGGTTTTTCTCCTCTATGTTGTTCCCAAGTCTTGATACAAATTTTTCTTTCAACAATAACATCCCTTCCAAACAAAAAAATGTCATGCCTAGGCTATAGCAAGATGTAATATATAAATAGATGCAGTCCGATAACAATGTTTCAAACCAGCAAATGTTGTTAAATTAAGGCTCTGATTGGGACAACTGTTGGTTGTGCTGTGTTTTAAACCACAATCATAGTTATATTTGGGCAAGTGCTTTCTGATTGTATTCTAAAAATTTCTATGGCGAATAGTTTTTTATGCAATCATTATTATGAAAATGGTAACTGTAAGAAAGTTTCATCTAACTTCTGGGACAAAAAAAAACTTTATTTCTAATCGCCATTATAAGTTTCTAAAAGGGTTTTACCACAACATAACTTTACAATTATCTTCACAAAAAGCTGCAGCTACCCCTAAACGATCCTAAATATAACAATTCCAAAGCATTTGTTCAGCTGACTTGGTACCCTCCCTAAGCCCAATACAATTTCTCCCTAAACCTACTGATGTGTTTTTCAAGCAGGTCACAGTTCATATTAGAGTACACTTTAAAGACAACATTTGGATGCCATGACCAGACATCCAAAAAACATTATAGTTAGCATAACAAAATATTTAACAAAATATCAGAAAATTTGCAGCAAAATCAGAATTAAATTTCAAAAGAAATAAAATAAATACCATTGATATAATTCATTACGATTCATAGATAGGCACTGCTCCTGCGCATTAAAATTATGATTATTACTCCTCCCATCCAGTTTGAGCGCACAACTAAGGCCACCAGCCACCATCTAGCTAAGGTGGAAGAATATGAACAAAAAAAACTGGGATCAAATCTCCGAGAAAATATAAACAATGAAAGAAGCATTTCTAAACCAAGTAATTTTAGCTTCATATGAATAATCAGAAAAAATCTGCAGTCATTTGAACTCGTCTACATGCTGACATTCTGAGCAGATAGATTTATTGTACGAATACGATGAGTAAGCACATCATCTCATCTTCTTTTTATGTCTCTACTAGAAGATTAGGGAGTACCTCATAGGCTTTAGATGTACAAATTAAATAATGGTATAATCGGCCAAAAGTACTCTGTGCCAGTACCAAGCCCAACGATTGGCAAATACCTTCCCCATTCATGACCAAAACACTGTTCCTGCAGAAGCTCAATACTCTTCTCATAAGCTTGCTTTCGAATAAATATCCTCTTCTACTTTTTTCTTCCTAGTTTCTGCTTCCATCTTGACCTGGTTTCCAATGGCAACTGACACAGCCTTGGGCAATAAGAACCCAGGTTTCTCAAGAAAGGGAGCTCTATCCAAAACCAAAGGCTCTCGTTCCATCACCTCAATGCCTTTGAAGGTCCACAGCACTACAGTGGCTTCACATTTCAGTCCCAGAGAGAACCATCCAAGTCCTGAAACGGATAGGTCCACACTGTTTATATCCCAGGTGCTTCCAGAGACATGGAACTCTCTTGCCTCCCACTCACCCAACTCAGTTGCTCGATCCGGTCCAATCGGTGGCTATTCATGACAAAAACATGATTAGAATAGCATATATTTTGCAAATCATATAGAGATATGATGCCATCTCAGACAAGCAATTAAAGTAAATCAGGCTAACTTCTAAGAAAACAAGTGCAAAAATGAAGTCTACCTGCAGTCTGATGCCAAAATGCTTGCGTCGTAGCTCTCCTGCACTGTCTATGTTCCCCAGATGTAGAGAAATAAATGGGGACGCCCATACCGTTACATAGATTGTTTCTTGTAAACACTTAATTAGATCTAATCTCATCAGACCACCTACATGCACAGTTTGTCCTACCTGGCACAGAAGAAATAATACTAACAAGGGAGCATCTATGATGACATTACCAAACTCCAGTTTTGTACTTTAATAATTTCTCATTACCTTTAATATTATTTGAATAAAATAATAGAATACTAAACATAGTCACTTATCCAAAGGATTAGTAGACCTGCTCGAATAGATATCAAAGTTTACACGTACAGGATGGGCTCAAATCTAGAACTTTCGTAAACATTAAGGAGCTCAAATTGAGCCTAAAACTTTTATCTGAAGGGCTGGGCGGTGACATGAACAGAACATTGCTCAAAGAGAAAGAAAACGAACAGGAAACCAAATCATTTAGCTTGTTTCCTTCGTTATGGATAGTTCAACACTGGCTGTTCTTCAGGCAAGCAAATAAGGAAAAACAATACAATAGTGCTTCATGTGGAAGACTACAAATCACGAATTTGAAGTTTCAAGAATCTAGTTGCAGTTTAAGAAGCTAGCTGAATGTTACATGAAGCATACATGGAGACATCAAGTTGGTTGCATCAGAAATATATTTACTACTGAGGTTGATTTCAAAAGCTCTTTTATTCTCTACAGGGAAACGATATCATACCTTGATCCTGTAAGTCCGTGGCCGCAGTTCCTTCCTTATTTCAACCATCTTTTGCTCCTCTCTGTTTAGCCTCATTGTCATAAGATAAGGATGTAAAAGACCAGGAGTATCGTACATCTTTGCCTTGGCTGGTAAAATTCCAGCAATCCTTACTATTCCCAGTGTAGTACCGGGCACCGAAGCCTCTGTTAATCTTGTCATTTTTACCTCTTCTTTTTTAGCAATTGTATTGATCAAAGTAGACTTCCCTGCATTTTGAGGCCCAATCACCCATACATTACCACGAGGACCTGCAAACTCCTTGATGAATGACAGCAAATTCCTCACACCAAAATCCTTTCGGGCACTCACTAGGTAAACACCAGTAAGCTTGGGGACTCCACCCACCTTTGCACGGTGCCGAACCCACCGATCTAACCTTGCTGGTGATATTTGCTGGGGTAGAAGATCCACTTTATTTGCAACAAGTACAAGTTTTGGCAGCTTGGTCATCTTTGAACTATTCATGGATACCTCCAAAGCTTTGAACAATGACTTCGCAGCTCGTTTCGGGAATGAACCATCAAAATCAACGCAATCAACAACAATAACTACCACTGGAGCATTGCTTGATGATTTAATAATTTTTTTAGATAAAAAGCGAGCGAAATCAAAATCTCGGATTAAATTCTCAGCTTTAAGGTTCTTGACCTGGCCATAATTTCTCAAAGAGTGACAGCGGGCACAGACTGTGACAGAGCAATCTGATTCATCTCTCCTGGCCTCTCTCATTTTATTTTTCTTCTCGGTCTTTGAAATCTTTCCCTTCTTCATCATGTTCAGCGTCTCTGATGTAATATTGCCATACCCAACACCAGGAAGGGCGAATCCATCTAATTCCTTCTTCGGCTTGCTGTCTTCGTCTTCCTCAATGTCCCAATCCAAACTCCAATCGATCCCACTATCCTCTTCTTCAGAAAGCTTGTCTTTTTCAGATCCAAGATCAAAATTTGAAGAAGAATAATCAAATTCTTCTTCTAATTCGTCCAACCACTCATGGGAATCCAAGGGAAAGTCGTTGGAAACGTCACTGAACTGAACCGGATGGCGTCTTGTAGAAGCCGGGTAGATTGGGGTTCCAGTTCTGCATACAGACACCGCAGCCAGCGCAGATTAATTCAGTCACTTCGGTCTTCTTCCCTTCACTGACGGCAGAAATTTTATTAGATGATGGTTTAGTTGGAGTGGGAGAGGAGTGGGAGCGAAAGCAGAAAGGAGAGGTATTGCGATGTGAGAGACGAAGCGTAGAATATAGTGGATAATAAAGTGTCCTCGCAGAAGCGATGAAAAACTCTGTACTACATTTTCTTTCGCCATTGAAGGACAGTTGAAGCGTCAGTGGAGTCGCAGAAGCTATGAATAATGCTTCCGGCATTGCTTAGAGAGAGATCGCTCGAACTCTCACGGAATGCAAAAGAGAGAGACAACAAGAGCGAGAGCCAGAGAAGGTATTCACTGCTCAACTCCCATGAAATGGAGGCACAAAGATGTTGGCGAGCGGCGAGCGGGCGGCGGGGACGAATTCTTGGTGGCAGCACGAAAGGGAAGCGGAACTGGGACTCTACGGTAAATACTAAGCTTGAGAGACATTCAACCCATCATCCAAAGGTGGGCATCAAAGTTCGAAGAATAATCTAATTAATTATAATTATATTTAAAAATGATAATATATAAAATTTACTTATCACAAAATTCATTTGTATGTAATTAACTAATTTCTAAAATTTAATTTTAACATTTCACTTTATTTATGCTTGAAAATATATATTTCACTTTAAAAAACTAAAATAGTAATATATTTTAATTGGTATAAATGTAAAATAAAAAAAACGTGTAGGTGTTAGATCTATAAATGAGTAAAATTGAGTGGTATATATGTTAATTTAATTTCTTTGTAAAAAAGATCTTCAAAAACAAACCAGATCAAAGAAGGCCTTCAACTTGCTTATAAGCCCAAACTATTAAATTAGAGATCAAGTAGTATGTTTAGATGATAGAAGGTTGTGGAGTGTGCATTGTATTGAGATTGTGAGCAAACTAGGATGGCTGACGCATAACAAATAAACCAATGCTCCAACACGTGGAATAATCCTAACGGGTGCTGGAATAAGACAAACGATAAAGACCACAAGTAGCTTAATAAGTCCAGTTAGTGTTTGATTAGATAGTATCAATTTAGGTTTAGCGCAGAAAATCCCATATCGATGAGCCAGAGCTTTAGCAACTAATGATAGACTATAAAGTAATAAGTAAAAAAATGGGTAGATTACGATCCAAGATATTTGTAAAACAAAGCGAAGCACAGAGAAAATAAAGGGGGATAAAATGAAAAATAATAAGTAATCCAAAGTAAGCATTTGTGTCCATTAGGTATACAGTAGGATAAAGAGGAATTGAGAGGAGAAGAGGAATTGAGAGGAGAAGTTGCCAGCAAAGTAGTTGACCAAGTTGTTCGTTGAGTACATAGAAAAAAGTGATTTACATCATTACTCAACAAAAATAAAACCTTATACAATGATGTTGACCTCACTTTTGTTGAGATCTAGTCTTTCTTCATTAGAAGCCTAGGATCTAGTCATAGAACTTTCCTATTGATTATCCTAGAGGACTGGTAATGAAACCTTACCCCCCTAGAAATTCTAAACACTTCTTTGCTCTTCTTGGACTTCCACATGTTTGGTTCTAACTTATAGCACTTAGTAGGATGGAGCCTAACATGTGGGAGCTCAAGAGGAGACCCCAAAGGGTTGTCTGACCATAGTGTTAGCCCTGGGTGGTGTGATTTTGGTCAGTCTTTGCACACACACACACTTGAACCCCTCACATTTACTCACAACTTAAAACCTTAAAACCAAATATGCTTAGCCTAATCTCCTTACTCCTTTGGAGACTCATGTGGATGGTTCCCCAAATCCTTAGCACTTAGCTAGAATGACGAGAACCAACACATGGAGGATCCAAAATAAGGTTCCCTTAGTATCATGGCACCATAAGGGTAATTTTGTGAATAAATTCTTCATCAGATCCCAATTTTACATAAATATCCAATTTTGACCTCTTAGGCCCTAGCTATTCCAAAATTACCAAATTGCCCCAAGAACCCTAAATTTTCAAATATTTCCAATATTCTCAAATTTTCTTCAAAAATCATCCCAAACCATTTCAAATCACTCAAATTGCCAAAAACAACCCAAAATTTTCAAAATTTCCAAATTACATCTAACTTCACCAAAATTTCCAAAAAGCCCTTGATAGCCCAAAATTTATCAAAACCTCCCAAATCATTCCAAACATCCTCAAAACCAATCCCAACCACCCATTGAGCCCAATTTTGACCAAAATTTTAATTTTACCTCTAAATACCTAAACTTTCCAAATCACCCCCAATTTCCACTAAATTGATTTCAAACTTCCCCAATTTCAAATCCAAATCAAATTTCAATCTGTATAAGCACAATTACAACCAAATTCTAACCCAATTGAACCCAATTTCAAAGCCAAATCTCATGCCTATTACAAATGCCCCAATTGGACCCTAAACCAAAATTCCATCAAATTGGACTCTCTAACCTATCCAATTTCCCCAAATTTTAATCCTAAACTCTCCACAACATTCACATGGACCAATTTGAACCTTCAATTGGACTAGACCCAAGCTCAATCCTAACCTAAATCCAACACAAATGAAAATCCCCAATTTTGTTCAAAAATTCAAATCTTGCGAAATTGAACACCATAGCCTCTCAAGTTCAACTCATTTGACTTCATAATGCCTCACGACAATCTTCTAAAGCAAATTGGGTAATCAATTGAGCCAAAACCAAACTATAGCCAAGCCTAAACTCAAGTCCAAGCCAAATCCAAGTTTCTGAACCCAACCCTAAACCCACTTAGAGCCACTTCTTCTAGCCCAACTTGGAACACTACAACTATCATTTGGACTATAGGGACCAACCAATATCATCTCAGGCCACCCTAGAGGTGACATAAACCATGGGTCCCTTGATGTAAGTGATTCCTTCACATTTTTGTTCAAATGACTCAAGCTTAGCATCACTTGAATAAACCTCCATCCTAATCACAATAAAACTTCACTCTGGCTCCTCTAACCCTGCTAGCCACCTCCCCTGGCCTAGCCGGCCTACTTAGTGGCTGGAAAACTCAAAATCGAGATGCTCTCGCTGTGGACAAAACCTAATTTGCACCCATACATTGTGTCCCATTCCAATTGGCTAATTGTGCCGCTCAACTCTCCACATAAGCACCATTCTCCACCCCCTGGATTGCTCTGTTGGCCACCATGGCCATGTCTATTTAAACATCCTCTCTCATGCTCAAAGGGAGAGTGCTGCCAATTACTTGAGAAGAGCCTTCCAATTTGCTCATAGAGCTTCCTCCAGCCTTCCTGAGATCAATCCCACCATTTTCAGCCACTAGAATACACTATCCAATAACAATTTAAGCACCCAAATCGAGGGCTTATTTTGTCATTCCACTAAACTCCACAAAACTTCCAATTAAACCTTCCAAAAGCTTCTTCAGACCAAGAGAGAAAGTTCCCGATTGAAAGCCCCATCTATTAAACCATAAAACCCACTCCTAGACCAAAGCCGCACCACCTGTTGGTCGAAGTCTGATCCCGATTTTATATGAAAATACAATGTATACAGTTATAATCTTAATTTCTCCTTACTTATAATTCTTACGTTATAACATTACCAAAAACTTGATCACCAGCAATAGCTAGGCAAAATTTTGACTCAAAGCAAATAAGAATAAAATTATTATATTTAATTATGGGTTACTATGCAAGTATACATATCGTTATCAAGTAATATAAGACTTTTTGATTAAGCCCAGAATATGGAACCCACGGGGAAAAAAGACAATATGCAACAAAAATCAGAAGAAATTAGATAACAAATTCTGCTTAGCAAAATATTCTTACTCAAATTTTAGATGCTAAAATAGGAATGAAAATTTGACTTTTTTGTAATTTTTACTAAATGAAGGTAAAGTAAACAACTAACAAAACTTAACTAGATATTTGTAAAATGAAGGCAAAATAAATAAAATATATTTTTTCTTATCATGACACAGTAACAAATATAGGAATTCTGTTGTGGAAGTATTCAAATTGTGTTGTGTCAAATAGGAGCAATAGTATTCTTTACCCTTACTAGAGATGCTATAAAGAACATTGACTAATTTAAAGTTTGAATAGTCTTGAAGACGGGTTAGGCAGGTAAGATGCTAGCTCTCACTTCAAAGTTCCCTCTTCTCCCTCCATCTATGAGCTAACATCTCATATCAAAACCTAAAACTATAAGCCGGGGCTTTAGCCTGTCACTTTAAAGTCTTCTAGAAAAGATAAGGAGATGAGTATGTAAACTAAAATATAAATATGAAAAATATGAGATTTGTTTTAATAGATTCCATGTGCTCAGATTACTCTAGAAAAGATTTAAGATGAGTTTAAATAATTATGTACATTTATCATAGCTAATTAAGTCACTGAAACTCATAAAAATTTAAATAAATATAACATAAACTAAAAATTTATAAAAATTATTCCACACTATAAGTAATGTTCATTTCAACTCTCTGCAAAAATTTGAAACCCATTTGAATTGATTTATCCACGAAAGTCTATTTTTCAAATATATTGGGATTTTTGCATTAAAAAAATAATACCAAATAAAATATAATTAGGAAAACAATGAAAAGTAGTTTTAATTGTTCTTTGCGATCAAGGGCACCTAAGAAAGATAAAATTGGTATTAAAATAATTAGTTCATTTTTGTGTTATTTATGAATTTTAAAAATAATTAAAAATAATTAAAAATGTATCAAAATATTTTTAATCGTTCCCTAATCATTCGGAACCCTTTAAAATATTTTTTTCCTAATTTTTCTAATTTAGTTATGTATTTTTAAATGCTAAAAAATGTATTTTCCTTAATTTTTCATGAAAACAATTATAAATGAAATATTTTTTTCTCTGAGTACTCTAGACTTAGAGAGATTTAATTGAAATATAAAAAGTTGTTTTAGAATTTAAATTATATTTTTCATTTAATTAATCACTTCTGTTAATAAATAAATATAATAATTAGAATATAATTTCAACAAATCATGAAATATGGTCCAAGTGGTCCTCTTACCTAGGTGAACCTCCAATAATTTTCTTAAGAACACAAACTTTACTTTGATTAATTAAATAAATTAAAATTGAAAATCATTATTTTGAGCTAAAATAATTATTAAAAAATTAAATAAAAATAAAAATATCATAACTTCTCCTCTGATATTTTAATTGACCCATGAGTGGGGTACCATAGATATTTCAAAGTCATTTGAGTTCAGTTCAATGAGTTATGAAGTAAAAATTTCTAGGAGCAAAATGGTAATTTTGGAATTTTGATGCCCTAATTATGTTTTAGGTTTAGTCAAAGGGAAATTAGGTAATTTTGATTGTAATAAACTTTTTTGGATGATTGAAACATAATGAGTTAAGAGATA